GAAGGGGGGGGGTGGGTCCTGCCCTGGGGACATTTTGCCTTGGTGGAGGGGTGCACCCAAACCCCATGTCCCAGCGATGCTCCTGGCAGCACGCCGCCAGCCGCCCCACGTCCCAGCATTGGGAGGAGCCGTCACTTCGTTCTCCAAAACCTGAATAGTGAGAAAAATACGGGGAAAACCTAAGGAGCACGGAGAGGGTTAATGCTGCGAGCGGAGTGAAGAGCACAGCTGCTGGGTTCGGGTGCCAGGGCTGGCACCGCCTGGCGCGGGGGTCACCGTCCCCTGGCCGCCCGCTGGCACCAGCGGTCCCAGGGCAGAGGCGGCCCAGCCAAACTGCGGTGCTGCTGGGGCGAGCTGAGCCCGTTTCTTCTCTTTTCAGGTCAAACTCCAGAAATCCCTGGAGCACCTTTCAAAGGAAGTGGAGGACATGAAGAAGTGTGAGTCAGCAGAAAGGATGAAAACCCAGGAGTGCAAGGCAGGTGCCTGGCTTAATTCTTAAAGAATGAGCTTCAGAGATATCAGCAGTTACGATCTTGTCTGGGGCCGTGAATTTGGCATAGTCCTCAGGATGGGACATGTCCCCATGTCCTGCTGTTGTATGGAGGGCTGGTGCTGGAAACCAGGCTCAGTGACTGCGTGTGGCTCTATAAACAAATTAAAAAGGTTTGCAAAGAAATGCTTTGCAAAGAGCAGCATGCCAGCTCCACCAAAACCATGGGGGCTTGTGTGCCGGTTAAACAGACAGACAATGGATATTTTTTATTTGCTTTTTGTTTTACAACCTGTGCTTGAGTTACAAGCCAGGCGTGAGCCATACGGTGAGGTCTGTCTCACAGCAATAGGAACCAGAAGTGTTTTCATTGAAAAAAAAGAAAAGCTGAATTACTGCACCTCTGCCCGACTCCAGGCAGTCCCGGTGAGATATGACGCCAGCAAGAAAGCTGCATTTCACGTCCCTTGGGGTGGAAGCTGGAAAGTAAAAGTAACTGCAGAAAAGGAAACGAAACTGCTGAACCGAGTTGTCAAGCCGTGAGCTAGAGTTGATGATTAATCAGCTTTGCCAGGGAAAACAGGTTTCTCCAGACTCCCCTAGTTATTTGCTCAGCTCCCCTGCCTGCCTGCCGCAACCCGGCCAAGCAGGTGGTGGGTTTTTGGGGTGCCCCTGCATGCCCGCCATCCCCCTCGGGGCTGGGATGGGGCCGGGGATGGAGGTTGTGAAAGAGCTGTGTCACTCTCCCCCCCGCCCGCCTGAGTCAAGGCTCTGGGGCCGCAGCTTATCTGCCTCCGGCTTCCTCCCAGCCTGGAGGCTTTTTTAGTAAAAAGGAAAAAATGTCCTTTTTTTGTGAGCAGTGGGGGGGAAGTGGCTGCGACCGTCCTGGCTTGTCAAGCCTTCGTGACTCAGGTCCAAGAAATCACGTGCTTGGACAGAAAAATAAACGCAGTTCAGTATCCTTTCGTTTATCTTCTGGATTTTGAGGTTTCATGGTCCTAGCTAACTGCAGCGTGTTTTCCTGGTGTTTCAGGTTTCGAGCAAAGTGCCAATTTTTAGGGCTCAGGCGAAAAACCCTAAAGCACTGGCAGACCCTGCCTGTTGCTGGCTGTAGTGAGAGCTCTCAGACACCCGGGGAGTCCTCCCTGGCTCCCCCTTTCCATCTCTCCCTAGCCCCGGGGCTTCTTCCACCTCTTTCCCATTGCTGTGGGTTTTTCCAGACATGGAGCATTTCCTCCGGGCTGCCCCAGCAGCGGGTTAGCCTGAATCTAGCTGGAGGGATGACTTGTATCACATCTAATAAAAACCTACCCCGACACCCGATGGCATCTCCTTGCAGCCCAGCAGTCCCCCCCCAGCCCCTCCGTGCTGCACCGAGACATCACTAGACATCTGAGGTCCAGCTGGGAAGAAATGCCCGGGGCAAAGTCCTACTGCTGGTAAACTGAGGATGTTGAGTGGGAGCTCAGGCGAGGTGAAAGCACAGCAGTTAGCCTCTGGCTGTTTTTTTTAAATAAACGTGCTTATGAAAAAAACGCAGTGGTTTCCCAGGGCCTGATGCCGGGCGTGGATGCCAGAGAATCAGGCTCTGTCTTGGCTGCCTGGCTAACGTTGCCTCGCTTCACCCTGTGTATCCTCTTATCACAAGGAGACGGTGAAGAAAAAGCGGGAGAGGATTGTGAGTGAGTTTGGGAAGCTGCATCGGCTGCTGGCTGATGAGGAGAAGCTGTTGCTCCAGAAGCTGGAGGAGGAGGAGAAGCGGATTCTGCTGATGATCAATGAAAACCTGGCCAGGCTGGTGGAGCAGAAGTCCTTGCTGGAGGAGCTGATCCTGGAGATAAAGGAGAAGACCCAGCAGCCGGCCGACGGGTTGCTCAAGGTCAAGCTATGCCACCGGCCCCACTAACTCAGCCCCGATGCCTTTGCCATCTGGGTGGGTGGCTGGTGGGCATGAGGCTCTGGAGCCCCACACTCAGAATGTTTTTTCTCTTCTCCTTCTAGGACATGAAAAGCGTCCTGAGCAGGTAGGTACCCGTGCTTGTTCCTCCTACCATCCTGGCTACCTCCAGGCTCTAAGTGAGATGTTCGTGTCCGCTCCATGCCAGCCACTCCCTGTCCTCCCTGCCCAGCGTCTGGTTTGGTCCTCGCTGGGGCTGACAAAGGAGGGACTGAGTCCAGCGGGGGCTGGAGAAGAGACTCCATCCTCTTCTTCCAGGGCCCCAGAGCCAAGGCCTCGCCTGGCCTTGTGATGTGTGAGATGTGTCCCCTCCTAAGGGGACTGCCTGGCTGGCCTTGCTCCTTCCTTCCCAGGGACTGGCATTGCCGCTCCCCGCATCATTTAGCTCTGGTCCCATCGGGCTTGCCGATAATCAAGCGGTTATCCATAGTGCTCTTCACAGCCGAAGAGCTCAAGGGAGGAGATGCATCTGTGCAGCCAACAGAAAAGCATTAAATCCCCCCCCAGCAGGAGACTGGCCGTGCTGTGGGCTCTGGATACAGCCCACGGGCATCGCTCTCCTTTCAGGTGCGAGGGGGTAAAGTTCCAGTCCTCCAAGGCTGTGTCCGTGACCCTGAAGGAAAACTACAGCATCCCCGAGCGCTGCCTGGGCATGAGGGACATGCTGAAGAAGTTTAAAGGTAAGGGGGCTGCTTCTGTGCTAGCTCCTGGCACATTTGAGCTCCGGTCTCCCCCCCCCTCCCCATACCCTGGGGCATGGGGAAGTTTCTTCAACAAGCTTTGGTCCCAGCTGGTCCCAGTTTGCGTAGTGATGAGTTCAGGCTGGTTTCATGGTGGGGAGACCTTCCTCGTTCTGGTCTTGGATGGGTTGTGAGGTGACCCTGAAGCGTAGGAGGTCACTCAGGAGTTTCAGGCTCCGTGTTGCCCGCGAACTCTTGCTTTCAGTGTTGGCTGTTTCTGAAGCTGTGCTGGGGGCTGCGGAGCCACCCTCGTTCTTTTTCTGCTCTGCAGCCAGATGCCAAATATTTTGATGTGGTTTATGGTTAGCATGATTATCTGTATTGCACTTCCCCACTGCCAGGCAGTGCTGGGAGCTGTGCAAAACCACAGGCACAAGCAAGTAAATGTGGGAGGTAGGAAGATCTGGGGGAGGCCAGCATCTAGGTCGCAGGTACCCACTCGTGTCCACGCCTGCAGACCCCTGAAGCCCCATCTGGCCTTCCACCTTTCTCTCACTCCAGTGGACGTGACTCTGGACCCCGAGACGGCACACTCTGAGCTCACCCTGTCTGAGGACCGCAAGAGCGTGCGGCGCGGGAGCAAGAAGCTCCTTCTGTCCCTCTTCGACAACCCCAAGAGGTTCAGCACTGCTCCGGTGGTGCTGGGGAGTCAGGTCTTCTTCTCAGGCCGCTGCTACTGGGAGGTGCAGGTGGGAGACAAGCCCGAGTGGGGCTTGGGGCTGTGCAGGGAGTCTGCCAGCCGGAAAGGCAACGTCGTCTTCTCCCCAAACAACGGCTACTGGGTGCTGCGGCTGCAAAACGGGGGCAACTATGAGGCCCTCACCTCGCCTGTCTCCCCTCTGACCCTGAGCGTGAGACCCCGGCGCATCGGGATCTTCCTGGACTATGAGGCAGGAGAAATCTCCTTTTACAATGTGAGTGACCGCTCCCACATTTATACCTTCACCGACAAGTTTTCAGGGAACCTCCGGCCTCTCTTCTTCCTGGGTGCCTTTTTGGGGGGCAGAAATACAGAGCCCTTGGTGATCTCCTGGGTCAGGGACACGCAGGGGACCGGGTGCATCATCCTGTGACAGTGGCTGCCCTGGCTTCTCACCGGCGGGCAGAGACCTGGGAGCCCGACCGGCTCCTCCCGTGAGCGGGGCAGCACCGCTGTGTGCCTTGGTGAGCATCATGGCAGGGTCCCCGCGTGCTCCTGGCTGCTGGGGGTGACCCGCCAGGTGTGACACCCACCGCGTGCCATGCCCATGCTGGGAAGGGCACTTTGCAGCAGGGATGTGCCATAAGCTGCTGTGCTGCCAATGGGGACAGGGGAGCCCGCTGACCACCGCTGCCCTGCTCCTCATCTCACGGGCTGCTGGAGAAGGATGTGCACCCAGCCTGCTGCATAGTGCTGATTTTGGTGTGAATTGTGCTGGAACAAGGCAATAAAGGGTTGATTTGGGGAGCCTTGTGTGGTTAACAGTGTGGTTTTGTGGCACGTCCATCTCCGCTCGTTAGCCCCAGCTAATCCGCAACATCTCAGAGGGCAAAGGGTGCTGCTGGACCTGGTCCTCTCCGGCCCACAGAGGGTCCTCGAGAGATCCCGCTGTGGCACCAGCGGGACACCTCAGCAAGCCGGGCACCTGCCAGGCAGGGATTTGGTAGCGGCAGCTGCCTGTGTAGTTGGCCATGCTTCAGCCTCGCGGTGCTGGGGCCTGGGGTAAAGGCAAGGGGACATCTGTATGGGTGTGGGTGCTGCACTGCCTGGTGGCTCCTGGGCTGCTCTCTCTTGTCCCCTGGAAGGGAGATCACCTCCAGTTTGGTAGGTCCAGCCCCTCCGCCGCCCCTCACAAGCTCCGTGGGTGGGAAATCTCCAAGCGTGGGAAGCTGTGTGTTGCACACCCCAGGGTGGGGGCACTTCGGGGGCTGCAAAACCCAGGGAAAGAAAAATAACCCAGCCTCTGCTGATGTCTCCAAAGGTCACCTTTGGTCTCTCCATCCCCCGGGACATCCCTTCTCCTCCAGGCTGTACTGCTGCCCCAGCCTCTTGCCTCAAGCAGTCTGCCATCGTGTTGCTGGAGGAAAAGCTCTCAGGTCCTTAAGCTCAGCTGTGGCATCAGCCAGTCCTACTCATCTAAACCAAAGTGGCTGTGGTCCACAGGGCCAGGAGGCAGGAGACACTGCCCTGGGGGCAGACGGGGCAGAGGTGATGCCAGCAGCCGTCGACTGCCAGCTGGAGTGGCTGTGGAGCGTGCCCTTCAGACAAAAATAATGAAGCTGCTTAGTTTAAAGACCAATTCAATTCAAATAAAATGAGATTTGATAAAGCATGGTCTTAGATGCTCAGCACAATTTCTCTGTCCTGAATGGTGCTTTAGGAGTCTCCTAGTGAAAAATGATGCTGGACCTGAGATAGCAGTTCCTCTCGGCTGAGTTTTGTTGCGTTTTGGGGAGTCCCACCCTCCTCCCTTCAGCTGCAGGCTTTTTCTTTTGGAGGCTGCATGGCAGAGAGAAGAGACCAGCTAGAAGAGCCCAGACCCAGCTTTGCCATGTTCCAGGAAGGAGAAAGGCAATGGGTCTCAGTGGGCTCTGCAGCTCATTGACCTCCATGGAGATCTTACAGAGGGAGTTTATGGAGCCTGAGAAGATAAGAAAGTACATGAACTTTGAGGTCTTGACAGAGGGCTGGAAGCAGAGGCAGTTATGGGGGGCAGTGGTGAGGACAGCCAAAGAAACCTGTTGTGCAGGGTGACAGCTGGGAAGGGACCAGGCTAAATGTCACTGAACCAGGAGCAGGAGGAGGTGGTGGGATGGAAACTGTCCAGAAAGCAAGAGCAATCTGACCATGGCAAGGTGACAGATGGGTGGCACTTGCTGCGGCGCCGGAGGGTTGAAGAGTGTTTTCAGAAGAAGTGGGAGGAAGTGCAACAGTTTGGAGATCTTGCAAAGAGGGGGAAGAAATGAATGAGCAGAAAGGATGTGAAACCCTGATGCAGCATCCAAAGCGTTCCTAGAAATCATGAATCTGCCTTTCCCAGGAAGGAGAGTCAAGGTTGAAGGCATGAGATAGCTCTGAATATGCTATATAATTTTCCATCTGGTGGACTCTAACTCACCTGCAGCTAAGAAACTGCTCGGGGCAGATACCATTCTGCCCTGAGATACCCAGACTGGTTCGCAATGGGCAGCTAGAGAAAAGCCAGGAGCACTGGGACTTGGCTTTTAGAGCTCCCTGCTAACTTAAAGCTAAAGCTGTTCCTAAAGCTATTTGCAAGCAGTTTTTCTGTTTAAGTCATGACAAGTCGAGCTTGCCCCTGTCCTTGGTGGAAATGCGTTTATTGCCTGGCTCTGGCCTCCACGCAGATCCTGCCCAGCAAGGACCAGGTCCTGCTCGGACCACCCGCCCCAGCCGCGAGGGATGGCTGCACGGCACAGCGCAGTCTGACCGGAGCAGGTGGGTCTTCCCGCAAGCTCCCAGCTCCCCAGCTCCAAGCAAGCTGGTGACCCTCACATGGCATCATAAGGTTATTTATTACCAAAGGGGCTGACCTGTATGTGCCAGGCTAATCACAGTCACACCATTTCCATTTGATTTCCATATGCTGAAGGAAGACGGGCATATACATAGGCATATACATATATTTTGCAGGGGCATTTTGGGTCGAGACAGTCGCTTGCTGTGGTGGGTCCCAGGACTGGTCTGTTCAAGGTGTCTGGTTTTACCGAAGGCAGTAATCCCTCGGGATACCACGTCTGGCAGAACAGCCGTGGGCTGGGGTTGGGTGATCAGGGAGCTGTTTTACTGAGCCATCGGTAGATTAACGTCACATTTTTAGGCTTTAGCTTCTGGGGCAGTTTGGTCACCCAGAGATGCTGATTATGTCCCCTGTCAAGATTCTCTGCCGCAAAAATTACAGACCTGCAGTTTTAGAAATGTGTTTTCTCAAGAAATGTTAACATCTTTCTTTCTCTTCTAGTACAGTGGATCATCATCTTAGGGGGATGTGAGTAGTTGTCTGCGTCTTTCTAAGAACTGAGCAGAAATGTTCTTTTGGGGCTTCGTTGCCAATTCTGCCTTCTGTTGGCCATTATGGGGAAGGTGATAGCCAGGCACCACTTCTAGCATAATACTTCCGTGTCTTCCTCAGCCCTGGAAGTCTGGGATATATCGCTACTTTAGGAAAACATTACTTTTGTATGCAGCATGCAAAACCATCCACTTTTACGTGCCTTTTTTGGGTGCTGGCTCCCCAGAAGAGACACGCTCCCCCATCTTGGTGTCGGGAAGAGCCATTTCAGGTGGAGGACTGAGCCTCCCCTCCCTGCGGCGAGCCGGGGCCCTGGTACCTGGGACGGTGGGGAAGGCACAGAGCTAGCAGTTCTGAGCACATGGGCATTTTGCCTTCAGGGTGTCTAATACCTCTCTGAAAAAGTGGAGATGTAAAAGCTGTCAGACCATGAACCTTGGTTGCCATCAATCCGTATCTCCATCAGCACAGCACAGCTCCTTCTGTGCAACGCTTGACTCCGACCTCCAACTCCCCTGGTTGTCATTGTACCTCAATATGCCTACGGACACACCAGGGTGATATAAACAACAAATATATAGAGATGTGCATGTATATTGTAATAATGATGTAATTCTTATCATAGTAATGATTTTATTTTTGTTCACAGCTAGGCTTTCTCAGGGTTTTCGTTAAAAATATTTACTTTTATATACATGGCACAAAATATTCAGTAAATACCACACTCTGGTTTCGGGATGAGTCTCTCTTTTAGTAGTTTACAAATTCTGAAACCCTTGACACCATTGCTCTTGTCTTGGTCTGAATCCAGAGGAAACCCCCTGCAAGCCACCCTCCTCTTGAGTCCCAGCCTCCCCTTTCTCTTCATCTGCTGCCTCCGGCTTAGTGTCCTCTGCTTCTTGCGTTCACCTGCCCCATCTCCAGTGGGTGCTCCCTGAGCACCCCGCGAGGTTGTTTCTGGGAGGGATGAGCATCATGATTAGCCCCTGAGACCCATGCATGAGCACCGGGGCATCCCGGGGCTCCTCCAAAGGCTGCACGATATGAGGGTTTTCTTGCATCACTCAGCTCTAGCAGCAAGGTCGGCCTCAAACAGCTGCATCAATGTATATGGCAAATATATCCCCTACCCTCCTGCTCTGGACAGGGTAATCCCTGGGTGCAGATCTGAGCTAATGGTGACATGGGTACTGCAGCCCCTGCCTGCCTGTCCCTGCTCCGAGCCACCTTCCTGCACTTCTCCTCCTCCTCCTCCTCTGCAAAACCTGGTGGCTCTGAAGATAGCCAGGGATGCTTTCTCCGTGCTCACACTGCTGCTTGCAGGCCTTGGAGGCAGCTGCCAGCTTGCTGAAAGCTGCTGGCTGCCTTTGCCTTGCTCGTGCGGGCTTCCTTCACACCTCTGTGCCCGGGGGTGTGGATTAACGAGTGCGCTGTATTCCTTGCATGCACTTTAAGGGCTCCTCTGAGCTGTCACGCGTAGGTGGGTGTAAGATCAAGAAAGACATGAGCAATTCAGGACTCCCTGCAGGCTCCCAGAATAGCGGTGAGGAGTTAGCTGAGGTACCCAGGGTGGGTGTCTGCTGTGGGTGGCTTGAATGTGACCCGGGTTGCTAAGGACGTTGGAGCATGGGGTTGTTTGCAAGAGGCTCAAACAGTGCACGGGCTGGATGGTGCTCCGTGGATGACCCTGCACTGTGGGTCCTTCGACAAGAAACCCCAAGGCTGCGGGGCTGCTCCCAGTGCCACAGGGACAGATGGGGCTTGTATCCAAGAGGGACTGTGGAGGCTCAAGCCATTTGGGGGTGACCCCGTTGCAGGTCTCCCCTGTCCTGTCCCCTGCTCCTGCTCTTCCCTGGAGCGAGGACAGCTCTGGGCACTCACCTTTGTGCCAATCTCAGTCTTCAGGGTGAAGCTACCGGGCTCCGGCACTCAGATACGGGGCTGGCTGGTACCCAATGGCCAAGGTGTCCTCACCTGCAGTGTGGCCACGATGAGCCCTGCTCCCGGAGCTGGCCCTGGGGCCTGCAATGCCCAGGGGGTCAGGGCTGTGACCAAAGCCACTGCCCTCGCATGCAGGAGCAGCTCCTTGTCATCAAGGCACAGCCACCTTCATGGTGCTGCCCACCCGAACCACACAGACATGGGCTCCCTCCCAGCAGCTCCTGGGGGAAGTGGGCTTGGGTCCTGCTCACTGGCACAGCTCTCCATTTCACTCCCACTCCTCCTCGGATGCTTTTTTAAGCTGGGTGCAGTCACTGCTGTAGCGGGATGACTGATGGGGTGCACGCCACCCCGTGGGCTGAGGAGCTGGGGGCTGCAGTTCCCGAAGTGACGAGGCTCCTGACATAACTGATACGCTGCTTCCTCCCCCAAATGCACCCATGTCCCTCTGGTCCCTTCCAGCCCCACCTGAGGCTCCTCTTGCTGCGCAGCTTCCACCCAGCCTCTGCCCTCTGTCTTCTCGCCCTCTGTCTTCTCATCTTCACCCTCATCCCCCGGAGCCCCCTTCCTGCCTTGCTACCCCATGTCTCACCCATGTTCATGTCTGTCCTCCCAAATTCCGTGTGTAAATGCTGTGGGGTTAGCTGAGTCTCTGACCTGAGCCTTTTCCCTTGGGCTGCCCTATAGACACCAGAGGTCCAGGCAGGAGGAAGCCAAACCCTCGTTGTTCATCCAACAGTGCATGCCCACAGCTGATCAGAGCAATCTAAATGCCATCAGTGGTGTGGGCTCCATCTCCTTCAGCTCCGGTGGGAGACCAGCCCCAGGGCTGCAGTGGAGATGTCTCCTTGCAGGGGCAGATCCTGCCCTGGGGCTGGGGTCTGGCAAGGTGATTGCAGGGGCACACTGCATCTCTGGACAGGCATCTCCAGAGATGGGCAGGTTTTGGAGGCATGGAGAAAATGCACCTTTTCTCATCAGAAGGACACATCTGCTAACCCTCATGTCCCAGCTAAATGAGAGTTTAATGAAATAGTTCAAAAAATCTTGTAGTGATACATATTTTTTCCATTCTCAGCTCTGGGAATAGCTGATCCATTTTAGCTGCAGTTCTCAGAAAACGTTCCCTGAAACAGCCAGCACGTTAAATTCCAGCCCCTAAAGGTAACATTTTAATTGACTATAATGGGGCCAGCCATGGAATTTAACTAGCTGCCAGTAGTCATAATGAGTAGTGATTAAATACCTTATAAAAAGAGTGAGCCAAGCTACCTGAATGTAATCTATGCCCTTCTCACACCTCCTCCTTCATGGTTTTTCTCTTCTTATTTTGCAAAACAGCACGTTTGGATAGGGAAAGCTTGTGGGGGTTTTGACAGAAAAGGGAATAAAGAACATGTTGTCACTATTATAATTTCAGCTATTGTCATCGCAAAGAATTGTAATAGAGGCAAAGACAGAAAGTTCTCACAAAAATATTTATTTCTCAAAATTTGAATTAAAAATTACATCAAAAATACAATTAATTAAATACAGAAAATATAACCTGAGCATGAGTCTTCATTTAAAAAAATATATCTATTAAATAATACTCTTATTTGTCTGAAGTGGAGTTATTGCACCTGATCCCTCCCTTATAAAAAATTAAACAGCAAAACACTAAAGTCAGATTCTGGAACATTTTCAATTTCCTAACTAGCTTTAAATGACATTGAAGCATTTCCAGCGGAGCCCACAGCTGCCTGTGGCTCGCTCGTCCTGGCGGCTGGGGGATGCAGGGTGGCAGGGTCTGTCTCGGGACCTCAGTTCAGCTCCAGCTCGTTCACGTACTGCTGGACCCAGTCCTGCTCGGGGTTGGTGCAGACTTCACGGCCCCTCTTTGTGATAAACCTGTGGGGTGCAGAGAGGTAAGTTTTCGGTGGGAGAGCACTGAAGGGGAATCCTGCCTCAAACCCAGCCTCTCCTGAGGATCAGCAGAATTTGGGCATGCAGCACATCATGCCCATCACGCTAGCAGTGATGTGCCGACAGTGATGTGCGCTGAGCCCATGGGTCATCACCTTGCACCTCTTGGCCCCCCATCCCTCCTGTCCCCGGGGCCAGCCTCCATCCCCTGTCATTTGAAAAGGGGTTTTTCCCTCTCTGGATCCTCAGCCCAAAGGGATGGAGCCCACCACCACCCTGGAGGAGAGGACTTACACGATGGCTGGCTGGGAGCACAGGCTGTTGGTCTCGTAGTACTCCACCACGAAGCTGCGGGGCAGCTGCCGGGAGGCGTAGGTGAAGCAGCAGGAGGTCGGCGGGTCGGAGCCAACTGTGAAGGGCAAAGACGGTCGTCAGCAGTGGCAAGGGATGGGGAGCAGGGGCAGGGAGCTGAGACTGCAGACCCCCGGGTCTGGGGAGTGGGGAGGACGTGGAAGAGGAAGAGAAAAGACGGGGTCTTTTTTCTTCTTCCTTTGATTCTTTCTCTTCTGGGTTCACCCTGAGCTGGCGCTGACACAGCCCGTGCCGTGCTTTGAGCTGTGCCTTTCCCATGGCAGGAGAGCCCCAGTGGCCCTGGAGCACCTGCCAGAGGGCCGTCTGACATGGGAAGGGACCCAGGGGTGAAAGGCCTGGCAGAAGGGACCCTGTCCCAGCAGCGACACCTTTCCTGTCCCCGTTTAGAGAGGAGGTGGAGAGCCCGGACTTACTTGGCGCAGCGGAGGTCTGGTAGCAGAAGGCAGCGATGAGAACAGCGAGGGCAGCCACAGAGACCTTCATGTCAGCTGAGAAGTGGTGGTAGGAGCTGAAGCAGGCAAGTGGAGCTTGAAAGCCTCTTTTCTGTCTGATGCTGAGACAGTCAGCAGCTCCACAATTTATGGGGTGAGGAGGTCTGTGCAGCAGCTTGCGTAGGCATGGTGGAATTTCCCCCAGAAAGGAGGCTGCTCATGGTGCAGTCTCGTGGTGGAACAGAGCAGCAGCCCCAGCGCCGGAAGGACGAAGCTCCTTCCTCAATTCAGAGCCTCCCCAGTGACACAGGATATGAAACAATCACCATTGCTATTTCTGCTTCTTTCATGAATGTCCCTTAGTAAGAAGTTCCCCTATGGAGGTTCCTGCATTTGTCAACGGGCCCCTATTACCCAACCTCCTCAAGCAACTTGGAGGCAAGAGTGCATCCTTCCAAGAGCTGTGCAAATGGGCTGAAGAGCATGGATGGGTGAGGCTGGTTAGGGAAAAAGGGACTGAGGTCTCCTCTACCATGGACTGTTTCCCTTCCACATCTGCACAGCCCATGCTGCCCCAGTAGCAGGAGTGGGCTCTGTGTCCTGTACACGTTTCACAGAGCTTGAGGGGACTCAGGGCATGTCCTGCAGCTGTGACAGCACTGCAAGCACCAGCACAGGTAGTGGTGGGCATGAAATAAGAGTCCCAGAAGCTGAAGCACTTGAGTTTCCTCCTCAGTTTAAGGGAAAGGAGAGCTGAGATGGGGCATTATGTCCTCGAGGTCCTGCCCCACTCTAGGTCCCAAAAGGAGACCCTAATGACCAATTTAGATCAGACAGTTAAACTTCAAGGGCTACTGATAGGTGAGGCCTGTCAGTGCTAGGCATGGAGATGCAGAGACCCAAAAGAAGTATGGAGACGTTGACTGTGACCCTGATGATGAGGCAGGAGGGGCTCCAGGAGCAGGGTGAGGAAGAAGACACTGCTTCTGAAGATGAGGAGCAGGTTAGCTGCGGGGCGAGGGCATGGGCAGAAACTGGGATGTCCAGAAAGAAAAGAGTATCCAGTCTCAGAAGAAGAGAGAAAATTGTAATGACCACAGACAAGGAGGAATGACCATGTTGTATGGGAGAGAGTAAGAGCTTACAGCTCTCCGAGGGCTGGGCAAGGGCTGTGACCAGGGACGGTTAGAATCATAGAATCATAGAATAGTTTGGGTTGGAAGGGACCTCTAAAGGTCATCTAGTCCAACCCCCCCACCGTGGGCAGGGACATCTTCAACTAGATCAGGTTGCTCAGAGCCCCGTCCAACCTGACCTGGAATGTTTCCAGGGATGGGGCATCCACCACCTCTCTGGGCAACCTGTGCCAGGGCTTCACCACCCTCAACATAAAAAATTTCTTCCTTATCTTTAGTCTAAATCTACCCCCGTTTAGTTTAAAGCCATTCCCCCTTGTCCTGTCGCAACAGGCCCTGCTAAAAAGTTTGCCGACATCTTTTTTATAAGCCCCCTTTAAGTACTGATAGGCTGCAATAAGGTCTCCCCGAAGCCGCCTCCTCTCCAGGCTGAACAACCCCAACTCTCTCAGCCTTTCTCCATAGCAGAGGTGTTCCATCCCCCTGATCATTTTCGTGGCCCTCCTCTGGACCTGCTCCAACAGGCCCGTGTCCTTCTTGTGCTGAGGGCTCCAGAGCTGGAGGCAGTGCTCCAGGTGGGGTCTCACCAGAGCGGAGTAGAGGGGCAGAATCCCCTCCCTCGACCTGCTGGCCACGCTTCTTGTGATGCAGCCCAGGATACGATTGGCCTTCTGGGCTGCGAGCGCACATTGCTGGCTCATGTCCAGCTTTTCATCCACCAGTACCCCCAGGTTCACTGGGAAGAAGCCACCAGCCTACACACAGACTGCCATGGAGGTCTACCAAACACCTCTCTGTCCCTGAGGAGGAGGAGAGGTGATGGATGCTCTGGGAAGAGCTGAGGGCTGTCCAGCTGTAATGAGATGTTCCTAGAAGAACATCTTTTCTCAACAGGGTAATAGTCACATTTCTGGGAAATGTCTCCATTTCATTATTTTCAAGACACCACCGAATGGTGATGTCTTGGCAGATGCTACCTGAAAGTCAGTGGAAAGACTATAACATAAAGCAGAGCAACCCAACCGCACCACCAGCACCTCTGCACCCCTACCGCAGCACTGGGCACCGACTCATCGTGTTTCTGTTAAAGGCTCCCAGTTATTGACCCAGGCACCTTCTGTAAATCACCTGGTGTTTTCCAAATATCACTCCAACTCCACATGGTGCGCACAGCCCTCCACCAGCTGCGGCTGGCAGAAGGGGAGGCAGGGCAGCTCACGGCCATCAGCTGCCTTGCCTCCCCTTCTGCCAGCCACGGCAGGTTAGCTCCGTGCAGGTTAACTGCTCTGCTCCGTGCAGGCAGAGAGGAGTCTGGAGGACAACATGGTCCTGGACTTGCACAGGAGAAGTCCCAGAGGTGGCTCACCCTCAAGGAAGCTCCTGCTGGGAGCCGTGGTGGTACGCCTGCCCCTCGCCCTGGCTGGGGAGGGCAGATCTACCCCATGGAGCAAATGTGGCTCTTGCCAAGCTGAGCATCACCTCCTTCCTGGCCGCACCGTGGCCAAGCTGGTCCCCTCTCCATCCTTCCCTTTGCCATCTGCAGAGAGAGGCACCTTGCAGGCTCACCCATCAGTTCAGACCCCACTCCCCTCTCCGCTCGTCAGCTTGCCTGTCCCCAAATATCCTGGGAGGATGAGGAGAGAGCCTGCCTCCGCAGGCAAGATGCCCAGCCAGGCAGGAGGTGGGAACCTGGCATTCAGCCGGACACCAGCTGGACCAGAAATTGGCTCTGAGCTCGCGCCGGCTTACTTGGCTCCTCTGTCTGGTTGCTCAGGGAATATAACTTGTAGATGTACGTAAGAGCGTGGTTTGCCTCTGACTGTTCCCTGTGATTGTACCTTCAAGCATTCATGGGTCATGCCTTGAGATCTACCACCTACAGCCATCTGGTCCTGTCCTGCTCCCAAGGCACATGATGTGGGTAGGGCAGGCAGGAGAAATACCATTTATGGTGCAGAAATATTCTGATAAAAAACAAGTTTCATTAGAACAGAGAATTTGTTGGAAACCTGCATTGATTATTCAAATGTTTTCAATGAGATATTTTTCTGTTTCAGGCAGCTGAAAACCTCCCAGCGTTTATACCTTTGTCAGCAAGCAGATGCCAAATTATTTTGGACCGTCAGGGACCATTTTTTAATTAATCAAAACTTTCTCAGTTTAGCTGAGTCAGTTTAGGATCAGTTTAGCCTAGATAACATGTGTTACAGGGGCCAGATAAGGGCTGAAACTTTTCTACTGCTGAAAGCCAAAAATAACGCCAAAGTCAGGGTGTTTGCTTCCCAGGGGTCTGTTTTTTCCTCAGAAATCTGACAAAAACCCCCACTCTGCCAGCTCTTTGCAGGCTGGATAGAGGTGGGAGGCTACAGTCATATCAGTGATGCCCTGAGATGTTGCAACACGCTCCTAAAAATGTCTCCTTACCCACTCCCCTGCATTCCAGTCATGAAGAAATGAGAAAGTAATTTTTTCTAGCTCTTCCCCCTTTTAGAAAGAGGGGAAGCTGCGTGTCTCGGATGAAGGACCATCTAACCCGGGAGGTGCTCTGAGATGGAGAGGTGGCCACGGAAGAGTGGGCTGGAGCACCTCAGGGGGAATTAGGTTCATAGCAGAGCAAAACGGTGGTGTAAGGTGGAAGTGTTCCCACCGCGGCTCCAGCTGGTTTCAGGCTCCATGACCCAGCCTGTGGTCTCTCCTTGCCCCCACTGCCGGCAGGCAGTGCTTGGAGTCGGCAGGACAGGCTGTCTGAAGCAGTCTGGCTGATGTTGCACCAGTTTGCATAGAGGGATATGATAGAGGCTTTCTGCAAAAAATCCCAGGAGAAAGTGCTAAGTAAAGCAACTCCCCAAAATAAATTCAGTGACAGCAGAAATAGGGAAATTCTCGATCTTGAATGAAACGGGAACCCTGAAAAAAATGGTGAGACTGGCTGATGTAAGTTGCTATTTATAGCAGGTTTTAATGCTGAGGAGTCAGGATTCTCTCGGAAAAGGAAGTACTTAAAAATGTCCCGAGTTCAGAAACTGTTTCTAGGACAAGCTCCGCTTCCACCTGCAGCGGTCTCCATCCTGCCCTGCTCAGAGCTCGGGCACCGGTGATTTTCCATAAGTGTCCAGAAATTTCACCCCCACCATTCTTGACATTTCTGGAGAAATGCTGGAATTTTTGAGATGACGTCATGTCCTGGAACTGGCTCCAGTGGGAACCTGTGCATGTGGGAGTTACTGGGAACCATCTGTCTCCCCCGCGCCGGGTGAAGGGGAGAGCATGGCCATCCTGGCCGGGTGGCATGAGCAAGCGCCGGTCACTGCTGGCTGCGTTGCACAAGAGACCCCTTGGTGTTTCCCTGAAATTGTGTGACGCCAGGAAGATGTTTGTAGCTGATAAGAAAAATGTATCTCATTAAAGGTTCAATCTTCCGCCAGCAAGGGCATTTTCTGAAAAAAATATCCTGGGGAATACTATCGCTTACTATTGGCTGATGCCTCAAATTTTTCCTGGCCTTTCTTTTGAAACAAAACAAACCAAAGAGGCTTAAGTGTACTGTCTTTCAAAGCAAATTAAAGTGAAATAAAAAAGCCTCCTTGCCCCCCCCCCCCCCCTTGGGTGGAA